GTGTTCTCAACAGACTGCCATCAATCAATGCTGAATCCATTGACCATATACCTCAGGTTGAAGTCAATCCCTCCCTAGATGAATTTCTAACTGAAGAAGAGGTTTTGAAAGTCATTAGGTTCCTCTCCTGTGGCAAAGCTCCTGGTGCTGATTCTATTCCAGCTGAGATTTACAAGGCAGGAGGTCCACTGTTCATACAAAAGCTGACTGAAATTTTCTGGGTTATAACGCAAGAGGAGGTTTTCCTCAGGAATTTAAGGATGCCTCCACTGTCCATCTCTATAAAGGTAAAGGAAATAGACTGTCCTGTGACAATCACAGGAGGGTCTCTTGGTCATTGCTGGCTAGATTCTTGTCAGAGTCCTCCTTATTGGTTTGATCCTTCATCTAGGAGACAGTCATCTACCTCAGAGCCAGTGTGGCTTCAGAAAGAGCTAAGGAATGTCAATACAGTGTTTGCTGCCTGACAACTCCAAGAGAAATGCTAGGAGCAGACTAGAGGTCTGTACATAATTTTTGCCAATCTGACCAAGGACTTTGTTAGTGTCAATTGTGAGGGCTTTTGGAAAATTCTGGGAAAATTTGGTTGCCCAGAGAAGTTTCATCAGTATTGTATTTCAGTTTCATAAAAGCGTGCTTGCATGGGTTCTGGATAGCGGATGGTTCTCTTGCACTTTCCCAGTGACCAATGGAGTGAAGCAATGCTGTGTGCTTCCTCCCACGCTTTTTAGCATGATGTTTTCAGCACTGTTGTCAGAAGCCCTCAATGAGGATGAAAATAACATCAAGGTCAGCTACCCCACTGATTGTAAACTAATTTGAAAAGGTTACAAACCAAGACCAAAGTGGAGGGAATGTTGGTGCATGACTTTCTGTTTGCAGATGATTGTGCACTCAATGAAGCCTCTGAGGCTTAGATGCAACAAAGTGTGGATCAATTCTCTGCTGCTTGTGCTAATTTTGGCCTAACAATTAATACCAAGAAAACACAGCTTCTCCACCAGCCAGCACCATACAATCCATATGTGGAACCACCAGTTACAGCAAATGGAGAAATTTTGAAGACTGTGGATAAATTCACTTACGTTGGCAGTATACTTTCCAGGGATGTACACACTGATAATGAGGTTGACACACCAACTAACAGAGCTAGCTTAGTGTTTGGAAGACTCGGAAGGAAAGTGGGAGAGAAGAGATATTAGTCTGCTTATCAAACTGAACGTCTACAGAGTCACTGTACTGACCTCATTGTTGTATGCCCATTAAACCTGGATAGTCTACCAGTGCCACGCCAGTAAACTCAATTGCTTCCATTTGAATTGTCTTGGGAAGATTCTAAAGATCACCTAGCAAGATAAGGTCCCTGGACACTGAAGTCCTTTCTCAAGCTAAACTGCCAAGCATATAAACTCTATCACAGAGAGTGCAACTCTGATGAGCTGACCAAGTTGTTCAAATGCCAAATGTACATTTGCCTAAAAGACTATTTTGCAGAGAACTCACACAAGGCAAGTGCTCATGTGATGGTCAGAAGAAGACACTCTCAAGGTCTCTCTGCAGAACTTTGGACTTGATTGTGTGATATGAGAGACACTGACATAGGTCCACCCAGCAAGCTGTGCCCGCATCAAAGAAGGCTCTGTGCTCTATGAGCAAAGCAGAATTGCAGTAGCTCAAAAGAAACATGAGATGAGCAAATTTAGAGACATCTCTCCTCCAAATGTTCATGTGGATTATTTGTGCCCAACCTGTGGTAGAGCTTTCCAAGCTCATACTGGTCAGATCAACCATAGTTGGACACACTGTGCCTTGAACCCAACATAGTGGTGTCATTTTGGTCCTCTTCAAGAATGAAGGACAACAAGGAACCACTTGTCTTCAAACACATCTTTTTTCAAGCATGTGACCTGGATGTTTGTTGTTCTTGTTATTTTGAGACTAGGTCTCTCTATTTCCCAGGCTAGAAGTACAGTGGCCACTCATGGGCCTGACCCCACTCCAACCCCTGCTGATTGGTAACAGTGCCTACCTCACCAGGCTGTTTGGAGAATCAAATGAGATAATGAAAGCAAAGCACTTTGGTAAACCTTAAAGTGCCATGTAAATGTCAGCTATAGTTATTACTAATTAATCCTTAGGAACTCAGGTATACCGTCCTTTGGAGGCCTAGGGTATCTAGTCTCAACTATTAGATTTTAGGTATCTAGCCCCTTGGGGACTCTGCAGTTTGGTCACATCTCAGACCCTCTAGGATAATGATAACAACAACAATAATAATAATAATAATAATAACAATAACAATAACAACAATAGCTAACATACTATAACATTTACTATATGCCAGGCACTGGCTAAGTGCTTTACAATTATTATCTCTGGGAAAAATCCACTGATTACCACCTGAAAGAGATCCCAGGAGGAAAACTTACAGGAATATCAGCCAAGTTCAAAGCTCCCAGATTAAGGAGAAAATATTGGAAGCAACAAGAAAAAAAACCAATTTAAATATCATGGAGCTGCAACAAGGATTACACAAGACCTAGCAGCTACTATGTTGAAGGACATTAGGTCTTGGAATATTTTGTAGAGCAAAAGAGCTGGAGTTACAACCAAGGGTAACTTACCCAGAAAAGTTAAGTATAATCCTGAATGAAAAAAATGGATATTTAACAAACTAAAAGACTTTCAGGTATTTGTGACAAAAACATCAGCACTTAAGAGGAAATTTGACATATAAGATCCAGGAGAAATATAATATAAACATTAAGGACTAATTGTAAGAGACTCAATAAGGTCAAATTGTTTACTTCTTACATATGAAAATATTATCAGTTCTTTCATGACTGTCATTTCTATTTGGGTAATTTGAAAGAAAGACTTGGGCTGAGCTGAGTATTATGGGGTGATTCTAAAAAAAACTATGTAGGAAGAGATGAAAAGGAGCAATCATCTTATATAAATGATGCATAAAAGGAAAAATTGATACAGAAGAAGCTAGTAGCAGAGAAGGCAGGTAGTGCTGAAATCTTACTCTCATCAGGAATGGGTTAAAGAGGAAACAACATATATATCCAGAACAGTATAAAAGTCTTCTAAATTCAGAAAGAAATAAGAGGGCAAGGGGATAAGGTCAGGGGAGAAGATAAGGGAGGGACTCTTGGAGAGGTGGATAGGTTTAAGGAATAGGAGGGCAAGGTAGCAGATAGAAGTAAAACAGAAGAGCAAGGAGGGATAGGAATTGGAAGAGAAGGATGGTGGGGGAAAAAGGAAGGAGGAAAATATACAACAAGCAATTTTAGCTTAGAATACAAATAGGATGAATTTACCCATAACATGGAAACTAATAACAGACTTAAAATTTGAATTAAACAATATGTTGCTTTCAGGAATGCCATAAAAATGAAAGATACATACAAACATAAAATAAAGGTCAGGAATAGCATTTATTATGTAAAAAAAAAAATCAGGGGTAGTAATCATGTTCTCAGACAAAGTTAAAGCTAAAATAGATTTAATCAAAAGAGAAAAATAGGGAAACTACACTATATGTCAGCTATATTATTCAATATTGTTTTAGACCATTTAAAATAACTACTATAAAATACCTGAGACTATATCTGCCAAAATAGACACAGGAACTATATGACCATAAACATAAAACACTTTTTATAGAAATAAAGTCAGATCTAAATAATTGAAGTAATATTTATTGTTCATGGGTAGGGAAAGCCAATATAATAAAAAAGTGATAGTTTTACCTAACAAATCTATTTATGCAATGCCATCCCAATTAAATTACTAAAAAATTATCTTATTGAGTTAGAAAGAATAATAACAAAATGTATTTGGAAGAACAGAAGGTCAGGAACTTCAAAGAACCAGGGAAAAAAATGTAAACAAAGCAGATTCAGTAGTATCAAACCTTAAACTACATTATGAGATGAGAGCATTGTTGAAGTTTAAAATGGATAATTTTGATTTAAATTAAAATTTAATTAAAATTTTCTTGTATAAATAAAACCTACACAGCCAAGAATAGAAGGAATGCAGAAAACTGGGGGGAAACTTTCATAGACAATCTCTCAGAAAGAATGTGATTGGGTTGAATACTGCTGTGGTGCAGGAAATGATGAGCTGGTTGATTTAGAAAAAATATTGGACTTACAAAGGAAGATGCTATCCACCTTCAGAGAAACAGATGACAGAAGGAAATAAGCATAGGTATGGTCTTACACATATATGTGTGAGTGTTTATGTATATATGTGTGTATGTTTATAGATATCTATGTGTGCGTATGTATATATGTGTGTACATATATACATATACATGTGTGTACATGTACAAGCATGTGCACATGCTTAATTGTAGCCTTTGTTGGAAGTGGGGGGGGGGAAGTAACGTAAAGGGGAAAATAACGTAAAAATGCACAGCAGAGAGGAAAAGAAAACCTACAAGGAAGCAAAGAAAAGCTGGATAGCTTTGAAAACAATGTGTAGTATTTATTATGTAGGTTTTCTTGAAATGGGAATTTATTGTTTTACATTGAATCCTCTCTTAATTTCTGCTATGTACATGGCAGTGTTTTTTTCCCCTTTTCTTATTTTGTATTTAAGTTTAAAATAAATTTAAAAACTTAAAAAATAAGATAAAATAAATACAATTATTATCTCATTTGATCCTTACAACCACTCTAGGAAGGTAGGTCACATTATTGTTCCCATTTTACAGATGAAGAAACTGAGGCAAATAGAGGTTAAGTGACTTGCCCAGGGTCACACAGCTATTCAGTATCTGAGGCTGTATTTAAACTCAGGTCTTCCTGACTTCAGGCCCAGTGCTCTGTCCACTGCACCACCTAGGCCCCAGAAACATAGCTCCTTACAGTCCCAGGGGACCCAAATGTCTACCTTCATTATTCCCAGTTACCTAGATATCTAGGTCCCTCCAAACTCCAAATGACTCTACTAACTTTTTTTCCCTTTTTCCTTCCTCTCTTCAGTCATGTCAGGCCCCCTGATATTCTTCTCCCTCCCAGTCCTCCACTTCCTCCTCTTCATTTTTGTGACCTCAACAGTGTTCCACCTTCAACTTCGACTCTCAAAGATGTCCAAATCATGGAAACAGCCACCAAACCTTGAGACCTCAGTCCCTACAACATCCCAACCCAAGGGCATCTGGACTGTGAATTCTATAGGCCGTCTAGGAAACCAGATGGGTGAGTATGCCACTCTCTATGCCCTGGCAAAACTCAATGGACATCAGGCCTATATTTCACCTGAGATGCATCGTCACCTCGCTCCCATCTTCCGCATCACTCTTCCTGTTCTCCCAAAAAATGTAGCCGAGCACATACCTTGGCGTAACTACCCTCTACATGACTGGATGTCAGAAGAATATCGCCACATTGATGGTGCCTATGTACGTTTCACTGGCTACCCCTGTTCCTGGACTTTCTACCACCACCTTCGAGAAGAGATCCTTCGTGAATTCTCCCTGCATGACCATGTCCAAAAGGAGGCTCAGGCCTACCTAAGGGGGATACAGAAAAACCCAGCCACCTTTGTGGGGGTACATGTCCGCCGAGGTGACTATGTTCATGTCATGCCCCAGATCTGGAAGGGTGTGGTAGCACACAAGGGTTACTTGGAACAAGCAATGAATTGGTTTAGAGCCCGTTACAGTGATGCTGTCTTTGTGGTCACCAGCAATGGAATGGCATGGTGCCGGGACAACATTGACACCACAAAAGGAGATGTGATATTTGCGGGGGATGGGAAAGAGGGCGCTCCAGAGAAAGATTTTGCACTGCTGACCCAGTGCAACCACACCATCATGACCATTGGCACCTTTGGCATCTGGGCTGCCTACCTGGCGGGTGGTGAGACGATCTATTTGGCCAACTACACCCTTCCAAACTCACCCTTCCTCAAAATCTTCAAGCCTGAGGCTGCCTTCCTACCTGAATGGGTAGGGATCCCAGCTGACCTTTCACCTCTGCTCAAGAACTGAACATTGTTCTTTTTTCATGCCCTCATCCCAAAGTCTGACTATGGTCCAGATAAATGTTCTATGGAGGTAAGGCTTGGGGGACAACAGAGAACCGTTTCTCCTATCCTGGATATCTATCCATATCTTAGGACAGAGGCCTCAACTTAATGACCTACCTCATCCCATCCTCTGCAAATCACCCAAGAATGGATCTACACAATGGAGTTGGTTGCATAGAATCATACCATGGCAGATCTGAGGAAGGGGGCTTGGAGATTATCTAGGGTGGGCTAGGAGATTATACTAAACTAATGTGTCTCTAAAACCCACCGGAAGTGGACATACATCAGTGGAATGTTTACATGTAAATCCTAGGTGATTGGGGGCTTTTGGGAAAGGGACCAAGCTGATCTGGTACAATGGGCCCTTGAGCGTTTTAATAAATGTTGTTAATGAAAGCCCCTTGTGTTTGAGGTATGAAGCAGAGACATTTTAACCTCCTTCCAGGCTTATGAAGGACAGACCTCTCAAAGCCCAGAATTAGCTAGTGCTCAACATTATCTACAAGAGAGGACTCTTTACCTATAGGTCTGGAATTAGTTTAGATTAGAGGGAAGTAAGAATGGGTGGCCTTCACTCATCTGCCAGGGTCTTTTGCTTCCCTGAGGAATGGAGCGAAGAGAAAAGTTAAAAGGTCCAGGGACCCTCTCCCCTACCCATAGCAGCCAAAAAAGCTGAAGGTATTTCAGATCGTGTGAATAGAAGTGAAGACAGAAATGTTTTCATTTTCCTCTGACCTTGTGAGGTGGAAGATTATTTCCAGTCATGAGCTCACATTTTGTGAAGCACATTGACAAACTGGAAAGTCTACAAAGAGATTCTAACCTAATTGAGAAGAAAACTGAAGACCAGGTCATGGGAGGGTAATTGGAAGAATAATGGATATTTCTCCTGAAGAAATCATTTTGGACTACATGTTGTCAACCTCCCATACAGCTGTGAGATTCTAAGATCCCATGAAATTGGGGTGCACAATGGTGAGAGAAACGGTGGGCAGTGATTTTACAGGAGGAAGCAATTGGTTTTAGGCAGCTAGGTGGCACTGTGGGCAGTGCTGGACCTGGAGTCTGGAAGGGCTGAGTTCAAATTCGACCTAAGACATTTACGAACTGTGTGATTCTGGACAAGTCACTTAACCTTTGTCTGTCTCAGTTTCCTCAACTATAACATGGGGCTAATAAGAGCACCTACCTCATAAGATTGTTATGAGGATCAAATGAGAAAATATTTATAAAGTGCATAGCACAGTCCTGGACATATAGTAGGGATTTAATGGTTTTTTTTCCCTTCCTGTCTCATCCACCCTCACTGCCTGAACAGCAGTCACATTTTCTTTCTCATCTTGGGTTCCCTATTCCCCACCAATCTCTAGGCACAGCTACCAATGAACTCAGGGCCTCCTCCTTTTAGGTCCTCTCTTTCCTCCTCTTCCTCTCCTATCCAACTAACTCCAGATCAGCCTCCATCTGCTCTAGGGAGGTCAGACCTGGAGATGGGAGATGCCTGGGTACCTGAGGGAGCTTAAGACATTATCTCCTCTTTTTCTGACTTGAGCCCAAATGGAGATTAAATGTTCCAGATGGGAAAACATGCCTCCCATCAAATGATCACAATGACATTGCACTGCAGAATTTTTGGAAGACAGTTTGGGAAACAATAACCTTATTCACAGGGTTACAAATTTAGAGCTAAAGGGACCTTAGCCATCAAGTGTAATCTCCTTATTTTACAGATGAGGAAACTGAGGCATAGAGATATTAAGTGATTTGCCCAGTGTCACAAATCTAGTAACTATCTAAAGGTTCTACCTAGAGATCATCACCCAGAGTCATACAACAAATCCAGAATGACAGCATCTCAGAACCAGAAGACTTAAAGAATCCTTCATTTTATAGAGAAGGAAACAAAAGCCCAGAAAGAAGCAGAGATTTGTTCAAGGGTACTCAGCAAGTCTAAATAACAGAATCTCAGACCCATAATGAGATGCAGATGTCCACTTGAGTTAATTAAGCCCCCCCAAAAGGGCAGGCACTCACATTCAGTGATGACCTGCTTGGTCATCTTGAGGGAGTTGGGTGGGGAGGTAGAAAACCAAATTAAAGGTAAGAAATTAAGAGAACAAAAGACAAAAGGTCATTTTGGTGACAAAACATTTTCTTCCCCAGAAAAAAGATCCCTAGAGAGCCCAGAGGCAGATCCTGGCCACACAGCCTAGGCGGTGAGTAGTGGCTCTGAAAGGAAACAGGAAAACTAGAATTGGGTCAGTCTCAGGTCTCTTATCTTCTTGGTCTCTATCAGTTTCCCCCTCTGTTTCTGTCCTTGAATCTTTTTTTGGGACTCTGTGTAGCTCTCTGTCTCTTAATGGTTCTTTCTCTGATCTGTCTCCATATCTGCCTCTGACTCTTCAGACCTGCACCTCTTAACATCTCTCTCTGGTAGTCTTTTTCTCTGAGACTGAGATGCTCTCCATCTCTACTTTCTTTCCTATCTGGGTCCCTACACTGTGACAACCTCAAATTCAATTTTCTTCCAAGAGAAGGGTAGGAGTCACTTTTCATCTTCTTTATATGTTTACTATGTATCTTTATGGGCTCCTGTGAGTCCTTTACTTCTGAATGCTTAGCTACCAAAGAGATTTTCCTAAACCATAGATCTAACCACATTACCCTTGGTCAACTTCAGACCAAACCAACTCCACACTAGCCTTCATTCGCACCTCCTCCCCGTTAGAAAATTGGACTCCATACCTGGAACCACCCTGGGTTCTGGTAGGTAGCTTTTTGCTTTATCTTGGCAGGATTCAAGACTTCACCTCATTCCCATACCATCTCCAGACCACGCCACCATGAATGTACCCTCCTCTTCCTTGTCTTTTCAATATACCTTTATGTATTGTCTTCTTCTATTAGAATGCAGAATATTAGAATGCTCATTGATGGTAGACACTGTTCTTCTAGCTTGTATTTGTACCCCAAGTGCTTAGAACAGGACCTAGAACATAGTAAGTGCTTACTAAATACTTTATCTATCTATCTATCCATATACTCAATAATACCTATCTACACAATAATGATAGTACCAGCTAGCATTTATACCACATTTTAAGGTTTGCAAAAAGCTCAACAAATAATCTCATTTTATAGGTAGGTGCTATTATTCCCATTTTACAGGTTAAATGACTTGCCCAGAGTTACATATCTACCAAGTGTCTGAGGCTGGATTTGAACTTGAGGTCTTCCTAACTCCAGGTCCAATGGTCTGCCCACTATGCTACCTAGTTGCCTCTTAAAAATTACAGGGGCTCCCTACTACCTTCAGTATCAAATATAAAGATCTCCATCAATTAAAGCTCTTAAAAACCTAGACTCTTCCTAACTTTCTAATCTGTAAGACTAATTAATTCTAGAGGAAACAGATCACTCCACCAACCCTACAAAACTACTACATTAGCCTATTTGCTGTTCCTCAAACACAATACTCCACCTTGAGTCTCCATGCCTTTTCACTGAATACCCCACATGCTTGGAATCATCTCCCTCTTTATCTCCATCTTTTAATTTTCCTATTTCCTTTAAAGACTCAGGTGAAATTCCACCTTTTGCAGGAAGTCTTTCCCAATTCCTCCCTGCTACTAGTGCCTTCCTTGTTGAGATTGCCTCCCGTTCTAGACAGATAGACAGATGATAAATGGAGAGATAAATGAATAGATAGAGAGATAGAATGTACCTACTTATTTATATACCATCTCCCATTAAATTGTGAGCTTCAAAGTAGGGTCTACTTTTACCTTTTTTTTTTTTTTTCGTCTAGGCAATAGAGTTAAGTGACTTGCCCAGGGTCACACAGCTAGTAAGTGTTATGTGTCTAAGGCCAGGTTTGAACTCAGTCCTCCTGAATCCAGGACCAGTGCTCTATCCACTGTGTCACCTAGCTGCTCCTATTTTTACCTTTTTGTCCCCAACACTTAGTACACTGTCTGGCACATAGTAAGCACTTAAATGCTTTTTGAATGATTGAAAAAAAAAAGCTACATTCTTTCCAATATGTACTTGTTACCTTGAGTAATTGTATAGGAGCTGGAAGTCTTATACGTAAATTTGTAGAAATTTCACTACAATTAAACACTGGGTGGGAGTATATGAACCAAAAGACATATCCTATTTGGAGGAAGTCCCCAAGATTGGACCTAGCTTATTAAAGCCCAGAGTTAAGAGGGCCCTGGGGGCAGGATCTATTCCTTTTTTGTCTTTGTTTCCCCTAAGTTTAACACAGTGAATTGCAAGGCACATTGTGGGCACTTAATAAATGTTTGTTGAATTTGTTTGAATTTTACTTTTGTGTCTCCCCAGTTCTTTATTCTCTAAGTTTCTATTTCTGAGGTTCTGTTGTTTTTTTTTTGTCTCTGCAAAAAACACAGGGTATGCTACCTATCAGGGGTCCCAATCAATCAGCTGGGTCTAAGATACCCCAAGCAGAAGTTCCAGAGGAACTGGTAGAAGGTGTTAGTATAGCCTGGAAACAAACTCCACTGCCATTCCTTACCTTTAAGGGCTCAGGTCTCCCACCCCAGTTTACTGTCCCAAACTCTGAAAAATGAGACTACTTTAGGCCAACTCTAAGGTCAGAAATCTCTCTTGAGGACCTGGGGAAGAACATCCAGGATTGCCCAGATCACCTCAGGGCCTTCTGGAAGAAATTATTTTCTCCTCCTGCATAGAAAGAGGTTAGATGGTATAAAAGAGTATAAGGGCCTCATCATCCCTCTAATCTGTCAGCAACCTCAGCATCTGGATCCCTACTCCTCACCCACTCAGGAATCCAGCTGTTCAGCCCTCACTCCTGATTTTACTATAAAGAGGTCATGGACAAGAATGATTTCTGAGCTAGTGTGGAGATGAGATATTTACAAGAAAACATGGAGGCAGGAGTCCTATCAAATTCCTTTCATGACACAAACATGGTTCTGATACCTAAACCAGGAAGAGCCAAAACAGAGAAAGAAAGCTATAAACTAATTTCCCTAATGATTAGTGATGCAAAATTTTCAAATAAAATACTAGCAAAGAGACTATAGCAATATATCACAAGGATTATACACTATGATCAGGTGAGATTTACACCAGGAAGGTAGGGCTGGTTCAATATTAGGAAAACTATTAGCATAATTGACCATATCAATAACAAAACCATTAGAAATCATATGATTATCTCAATGGATGCAGAAAAAGCTTTTGACAAAACACAACACCCATTCCTATTAAAAACACTAGGGAGCATAGGAATAAATGGAGCTTTCCTTAAAATGATAAGTACTATTTATTTAAAAACATCTGCAAGCATCATCTGTAATAGGGACAAATTAGAAGCATTCCCAATAAGATCAGGGGTGAAACAAGGATGTCCATTATCACCACTATTATTCAATATTGTACTAGAAATGCTAGCTACAGCAATAAGAGAAGAAAAGGAAATTGAAGAAATTAAGATGGGCAATGAGGAAACAAAACTATCACTCTTTGCAGATAATATGATGGTATACTTAGAGAATCCCAGAGAATCAACTAAAAAACTACTTCAAATAATTAACAACTTCAGCAAAGTGGCAGGATATAAAATAAACTCACATAAATCATCAACATTTCTATATATTACCAACAAAGCCCAGTGACAAGAAATAGAGAAATTCCATTTAAAATAACTGTAGACAATACAAAATACTTGGAAGTCTACCTTACCAAGATAAACCCTAGGAACTATATGAACACAATTACAAAACAATTTTCACACAAATAAAGTCAGATCTAAACAATTGTAAAAATATCAATTGCTCAAGGGTAGGCCAAACCAATATAATAAAAATGACAATTCTACCTAAATCAACTTACTTATTCAGTGCTGTACCAATCAAACTACCAAAAAAAAACCTGTTTTATAGAACTAGAAAAAATAATAACAAAATTCATCTGGAAGAACAGAAGGTCAAGAATACCAAGGGAAATAATGAAAAAAAAATGCAAAGGAAAAGTACCAGATCTCAAATTACAATATAAAGCAGCAGTCATCAAAACTATCTGGTACTGGTTAAGAGTGA